TCAGCACCCCTGCGCAGACGGCTCCATTGTCTCGGAATCTGTGGGGCCTACGGCAGACCTCCAATTCCTGGCGGCCCTGGCGTGGTAAGAGACCTATTTTCTTGATGCTCTTCCTAAATACCGGCTAACTATCTGTGGAGTGCGCTTTCGAAGATCCAAGCAGACCTGATCTGTGGCGGTAAAGAGCATGGTAAATGCTGGTTTGCAGCCATTTGCTCCGGCGAGCTGATAATGGACCTAGATTTCTATGTCCTGGTGGCTCTGCAGGTAACCTTTGGAGGGGATGATATTACAGGCGGACATGTGGTAATTCCGGGCTATGATAAATTGCTTCCTGACTCTAGGCTTGGTGTGGGTTTTCATGTTATTGGGTATTTCCTCACAATAGTCTAAATTGGAATGTTAATTCAGATTTCAAACCTGTACTTCTGGTGATACTATACAGCCTAGACAACATTCACACTCCAGGCCAACTTTAGATTCAAATATTAGGATTTGCCGTAGACAAACGTTTGAAGATCAAGCATTAATGATTGGCAAAGAAATCCGATGCCACCTTACAGTATCAGTCTTGCTCCATGAATAGTATCCTCTCCAATTTTCTCATTTTTATGTATGGCTTGCCTGTTTCATTAGGTCGCCAACTTAGCGAAATTATATTATCTATCTATCCCATGAACTCTGGACAACAGTCCGCTCAGGAAGTTTGTGGAGCGACTACAGGCCATTAAGACGGTATATTGGGAAACTGGGCCAACTCCAGCGCATTTCGGAGCACTGTAATTGAGAGTTCTTTCCTCTGTCTGGCGGAGACTGCAACTATCAACATTTCGATCCTCCACAAATATGCGACTATGCAGATCATGTTGTCTATCTGTTACTGTCACTATCATCTCTATTAGCTGGAAGTTTATCAGGACACCATTTTAGCTTAGTGGTAGGAGTGCATTATATGACAAAATATATAGTGAGGTGGTCTGCATTCTTAATAAGCATTTTCTTCAACCTAAGAAGCATCCGCATGCGGAGACCACAAAGACCTGTCTAGAGCTCTCTGGATATCAATGACCCTATGAAACAGTGCATATCTGGGGACCTGAGGAACAGCATTTAGAGAGCCAGAAAAAGACGGAAAACTAGTTATACACCCACAGACATTGGAATGCGGCGCGGCCTTGGCATATCAATCAGACAGTCAGACTGTGGAAGACAGACACGTAAATGCTCAAAATACTTGGTAGTTGCTAGGATCCAGACCAGGAGTCTTATTTGACGTCTGAGACATCTTTGACGTCGGAGCGATCGTACCGCCGCCTTGAAGGAAGCAGTCGGACGCAGGATCTCGTAACCATATTCTGTGCCGGTTGCAGTAGTGCTTCGGCCGGGACGGACCGTACGACATTACTGGTGCCCCGCGAGCTGCCAGCCCCACAGTCTCAGTGCACTCATCATGGAAGAAGTGGGATCTGGGAACAAGAAAGAAATTGTGTGATATGAATGCGTATGTTTGTGCTCAGTTAGCCTCAGCTAATTGGCTGGTGCTAACATGTATGAAAACAGTAGACATAATAGAAGTTATATAACAAGAGAAGGTCTACAATTATGAAGTAATTAAGCGTTGATAGTTTTGGGATATGTACCATGCATGTTTTTGCCTCTGTTAAGGTGCAAAGTATTTGTCAAATGGATATTACATCCATGGCTCAAGCATCACATGCCCTTCTCTATTCGTGAACAATGCATGTGCTGTTCTCGCTGCGACTATGCCATCGTAACGTTGGAGTCCAACTGGAACATGTCTCCAAAGGAAAGTAAACCAGAAGAAGTATCCAACCCTCTGCCAAACAGACTTCATCCTAATAGCTAGAGTAGGAAAGGTTATATGACTTTCTTGTGGAGAGAATTAACAGATCTGTGGTGGTTCGTAGGGTGAGGTATCAGAAAATTGGAGATGATAGATTCTGACAATGCTAAAACTCTTCAGCTCTAATCTATGATTATTGACGGGTTTAATGCGCGTAGGCCTACGAATAGTAATAGTGATGTTGTTCTTGTATGTGCATTATGAAGAATCATGTAAACTTCCATTTGCGATAAATGTGACACAAGATACAATTTATTGATATCAAACACATTTTTGTTGATCTATAGGATTAGATGATGACATATACTTCAGCACCAACATTAGCCGTAACCCTTTAGAACACTTCTATTAGAAATAAATGAGAGATTCTTTAAAGAAGAGATAATGACACTATGAGTCTCGATAAACAGCATTTTTATTTTCCATTTTGCTCTTTATCACAAAGGCAGGATTAAATTACAGATATTTTAGGATTCCTATTTGTTTAAGATTGAAAAACAACTTTCGGGCCTTGCTAAAAAGAGAGAAGTAAATATTTAGTCATCCAAGTACATTTATCATGGAATATGTATCATATCGCCTAGTGCCTTGCCCTTGATTGAATTACGACTAGTCGCCCCTGTGAGGCTTCGATTCGACAGCTCTACTCCTGTCTCTTGCTCAATGGCTTCACGTCTCTTCTTTTCGTCATATTTCTCGTCCAGTCCAAACTCCGTCACCAATTCCTTCCGCAACTCCACTTGCGGGATCCACACTGCAAGGGGAAACGCCGCGAGGGCGAACGCCAGCAAGACCTGCCAAACGAGCTTCAAGCATGACTGATAGACATCCAGGATTTACGCTGCACGGTTGGATTATTGTCAAAGGTCTCAATGAAGACCTTGGTGGCATGTTCATATGCCCCACCACGAGCCAGGAGTGCGCGGGTGGCCTGGTCGCTGATGTGAGACAGCTGTCTGTCGAACTTGGAGTTGAACACGGCGGCGGGGATGGCGGCGCCCCAGATGGCGCCAAAACTTCGCACGAATGCCCAGCTGGTGGTGGCGATGGCGACGTCCTTCTCTGGCAGCGGAGCCTGTACAGCAGGCAGCGTGGAGGTGAGCGACAGCCCGCCGCCGATTCCTGTGATGATTTGGAAGATGACCCATGTCGCCGTACTCGACTTGTCAGTCAGGAGGGTCAGGAGACCAACCCCGACGGCAATCAGACTGTAGCCGAGAATGATAGTGAGCTTTTACCGGCCGGTGATGGCCACCATGAGGCCACCCGCGATGCCAGCTGGCATGAGAGGGATCACGATGGCGAGAATATCCACCCCGGACCTCATGGGGCTGGCCCGCAGCATCACCTGGAAGTAAACCGGTAGGAAGAACGAGAGCCAGGACATGATGATCCCGTGCAGGAAAGTGAGAATGTAGGCCACCAGAGAAGTGGTGTTGCTGTACACGCGACGCGGCATCGTCGGCTCGCGCGCGATATATTCCTGATGCAGGCCGAATAGAACCAGGCCGAGAGCGCCGACTAGGAGCGGGACGAGGATGTGCCACGAGCTCCAAGTATACGTGGTTCCTCCCCGGGTAAGGGCAATCAGGATGGCTACAATCGCCGCAGAGAGGATCATATTCCCGGAGAAATCCACGCGAGCAAGTCGGTCCTTGAGAGTGCCCTCTCGGTTCCATTTGACCCTCAGAAACAGAGCCACTAAGACCAGGGCAATTCCCGCTACAGGGAGGTTGATGTAGAAGACCCACCGCCAGGTCGTTTTGGTGACGATGGCGCCTCCCAGGACAGGTCCGATAAACGTCCCCAGGGCAAAGGTGCCCATGATGATACTCATTAACTTCTGTCTCTCCCGAAGGGCTACCAAATCAGCCGCGATGATATCGACCATCACAAAGATTCCCCCGCCTCCAAGTCCCTGCACGATTCTCGCGGCAATGAGCATTTCAGTGGTGCTCGCTCCGCCACAGAGCCCGCTTCCCAGGGCAAAGAGGACGACGGAGATGATCATAGGGTATCGCCGACCGAAAATGTCGGACGCTTGGCCGGCGATAGGCTGGACCGCAGCCACAGCCAGAAAATACGCGTTGATTGTCCATATATAAAGCGAGCCCGAGTGCAGCTGGTCCACGATGGTCGGGAGAGCAGTGGCAAGAACGGAGGTGTCCAGGGCAGCAAGAAGGATGGCAAAGCAGAGGCCTGGGAAAACGGCCCAGAAACGCCATCCACGATGTTGCCGCTGAGGAAGAGGATTGAGAGGATTCACAATGGACTCGTCATGCTTTTTGGAAATGGCTTGCGGTATGCGTTCTTCAGACAGGCTCTCAGCCATGATCCTGGTTGTGACGGCCATGACGGGTGTAGGCAGAGGGTCGTAGGGTACGGTCATTGAAAAACATGCGAGACTGACGATTGGAGTTAAAAGAACGAAACAGCTCTGTAATACAGAATTGCGGCTTGTTGATAATTCCACCCCTTCTTTAACCCCATACTGGATCCAGACAAGGACTGGATGGGAAGAAAGACTACGATAAGCATGGACAACTCGGGGCATATCGGAGGCAAACAAAACAGGAGTCTCATCTGAGATCACCCAGTGAGTGTGAGAGACTGGATAAATCGATCCTTACTGCCCAATGAGGCCCCTAGGCTGGTTTCTTTGTCTGCAAAGACGGACATTGCCGGGCCAGCGCACGCTGAAAAAGTACAAGCCAGCGAGTCATGCCAGAAGCGGACATTACAATTTCCCCCAATTAACAACCTATGATAATTTTTTGCAAATGCAGAGATAGTACCGCGGAAGAGAGGCTGAGGTTGTCAGGAGTGTCCTTTACAGTGTGATATTCTCGATCGGGGGGAACTTACAACACCGACGAGCGTCTAGCCAGCGTAGATGTCCCCACAGAGCAATTGACCGGCGAGTCCGGCCTAGAGAAGCATCAGTCGACCGCTGATACGACATCCACTATCTCGTACCTTGATCCAATGGCTGGCTGCGTGGTTGGGAAGCTCTCAACGGCTAGACCACCCGTTTTCGAGGGATCGGAGCTCATGCTCCTTAGTGATAGTTCTTAGCTGAGTAAAGGTCCAAATGGGCGATTTGTCTGGGATGATTGCGCCACATACTGTCATCTATCACCGGCTACTTTAAGGTAGTTATATCCACTAAGAGGAAAACCAAAACTTGCGCCGAATGTGGGACAAAGTCTCATCAACGGAAAATACACCTCCGATGCTTTCTTCTGCCTATTGTTTAACGGAGTCGTCCTCAAGCGGCTGAGTGCGGGCAGAGCGGTCCGCTTTTCCCCGTGGATAAGCCACAGTGGTAAGCTGACATCACCCCGAAGTCATTTACCGTATCTAGTGAGAATTCAGGAAGATATGGTCAGCGAGGGATTATCAGCAATATCTAAGCGTCTGGATATGCACGGGTATAGGACATAAGCAGTAGGGAAGATGAGCGGAGGGGTATCTCTATTACTACTCTCTATCATAATGTGAATGTAGAAAATCAACTCAAGTTTTCGTGCGGTTACGAAGTTGCATCACCGTATTATGCCAGAGGAGTTGTGCATATAATACGTGAAGCTCATAAGCCAGCCATGGCAACATCTTGAAATCCCTTGTAGACTGGCTGCCCGGGTGGAGGTTAGAGCATTCAACACTGATGTATGTCACCCTGGCCATTCCATCTGACACCCCTTTCCACAATGAATTCTTGGAATCCGCCATCCATGAACCGCCACGGTAGACCATACGATGCTGCCTTGTCCACTGTTCGGACCAGCCCGTCGGGAAATTTCCAGTACATCACGGCTCCGGCTGTGTCGGTGGGACTATCTTGGATCGCGTCCCTGTTTGACGGGAACTCGGAGCAAGGCTCGGGTGCTTCTGGACCAAGAGCGTGAGGCTGGATAGAAGACTTCTGATTTGTACTCCAGGTCCCAAGCATGAAGGCTCCCATGCTGCCTTGATCGCCGAATAACAGACTACCTGGCGCAAAGGACAGTGGCGGCACCTCTTTGTCCAGAAACCACGCCTCCGGCCCGGCGGCCCGCGCATCAAGAAAGGCAGCAACTAGATTCTGCATCAGATGATGCGCATCATCCTTCTCGGTGTTACTCTGTTCACTGTCAAATGCTCCGTACCCAGCGAGAAGGGACACGGGGACATCCGCTTGAAGGGCTGCGAAGGAGGGGACCCAGCGGGTTTGGTTGCCACCAGACCATGAGGCCAGCAGAGCTGACTTTTCCATCCCCCATACAGACTTCGGGACCGCTTCGCTGCTCTCCACGAGGTTGCGACATGCACTTGACTTTGGAAGTTCCTTGATGGAGACTCTCGGGTATGACCGGTCAAGGCGTCGCTTGCCAAGGTATGCGGCGACGATGCTGCCGGCCGCAGCTAATGAGACCACACCTGTAAGTCGAGGACGGTTTTGCATGAAAGTGATGATGTTCATGATGGCGGTGTGGATTGAGTTGCAAGCAAATAGGTCGGGATCTGGAGCATCTGAAGATACTGCGAGCGCATTCAATGGAGATTCAGCGCCGTCACCCGTTGCACCCTTGTATATATTAACGAAGTCTAGGTCCAAAAGAGGTATTGATGATCATTAACTGTTGACTGAATGAGCGATATGCAAACTGCGACAGAGATGATGAATTGAGAAATGCAAGAGACACGTCATCCCCGGGGTTGCTTACATTATAAGCATGGGCTAAGGGCTATAAATACATCCTGACACTCTTTGTACAAATTGGACAAAGGAATATGACTCACCTATAACTGTAACAACTATCGTCAGCTATTGCCACTATTTCCACGTACGGGGTGCAAACATCAGCTCGTTTTAGTATCAGTGATCACCTCCAGATCGTATGCTGTACTACATTATTCGGTAGAATTAAAGAAGCTTGATGGCAACTTATTTGATCTTGCAGGACTGAAAATGCGGCATCCATCGGCCGAACCCCATCCCTTTGCAGAAAGCAGGAAGACGGGCCTCACTATCACCAGCAGTTCGCTTGCATAAACGCCTACACCTTCCTCTTGACGTATTTGCTCATAGATTGACAGTCACCGAGTCACTCAGATCATACAACTGTCAACTCAACGTCCATTCCTAATCATTGTGTTGGGCCGGTGTGGCCAGATGGTAGCCTCCAACTGCCTCCAGCGGTTCGGACAAATTAATCATGTTGTGCTCGAAAGCATGCTGAGGTTGCGCTGCAATGGCAATGGCAATCTCCATGTACGCACGTGCCTACGGGTCCCCATCAACTCAGCTCATCCCCCTCAAAAGGCTTCCAATGTGACCAGTGCCAGTGAACCATTTTTTGGACCGGGGCCGGATGGCCGGTGATACAAGATAATCTACTGTACACCCATGCTGAGAAGAAGTACGTCAATTTTTAAAGTTGTGTACGTTATGCACCCAAATCTAACTTATAAGTTCAATGGTATTGGCTTCTTTCCCCTGGAAAGACGCAATCTCCTGCAGATTCTGTATGACGGCCCTGCCTGACAAAATCATTTGTCCATACCAAAAGCGACATCAAGAATGTCACGCAATTCCCAGACCGGTGGAGGTCTGCCTTGCAGACGCACTGTTGAAGACTGGTGACAATGGTCCTCAGTTTTGGACGGGGTCCACAGCTTGATGCGGAAGCTTCATTGGGATTCAGCCAAGCATCGACAGACAACTCCGAGGCCTTCAAGCATGTACTTTAAAGAACTACACCTTGATCCATTTCAATCCCAGGCCTCAGCCTGTGAACTGGGCAACCTCCGCCAGCTACTTGATCGATGTGAGGTCAGCCGAGGACGTCACGGGAGGATCATGTTTCGAGGGAGCAAAACATCCGGCTGGTCATCAAAATACTGGCCATGATTACGCGGCCATGTCGACGGGAAAAGGTGGACTGTCCCTGTGACACGTAACCTGGGCTCGACCCAGTTCATCTACACTTATGAGTCCTCCTAACTACAACGGCCAGCCATCCAAAGCTCGGGCCGGCGTTCAGGGTTTGAGGCGATCTACGGCCAACACGACGGACAGGGCTTTGTTGGCGGCGTCTGTCACATTGTGGCTATCGCAAGGCGGATTCGGCCTGGGTGGAGGCCACTCGATCCTCTCCAACAGCCACGGAACGGGGTCCGATAACGTGCTGGAGTGGGAAGTGGTCACCATGGACGGGAGACATCTGCCAGAGCAGAATTCTAACCTCTACTGGGCCCCCAGCGGTAGTGGTCCGGGCACCTTTACTGTTGTACTCTCCATGACAGCCCGGCTGCATGCAGATGGCATCATTGGCGGGGCTAATCTGCGATGTAATTGGGAGTTTTATCCATTTACCTAAACTAAACTAAATCTAATCATTGCTAGTCAGTAGGGGGCCTAGCTAGGCCTACCTAGGCGTAGCACGTAGTAGGTTTTTGTCGTGAAACTCATACTAAGTTAGAATAGATCTAATTTAGATCTAATTTCTAAAGCCTAACCTGAAATCATACTAGTTTAGTCACTTTAGTGCTAACCAGGGTTGAACTCGTCTAAACTTAGACCGAGCACAACTCTATACGAGGGATTACTAATTTACTATAACTCTATCTCTGTTTCTAGAAGTCCTGCAGTCCTGCTAGGCTGCTACATACCTGAGAGTAAAGAGCTTCTATTTTAATCTTTTAATATAGCTATTTTAGTTTTATGAGATTGCATTCTCTCCTCTCCCCCCGCGCCCCACACTTCCTCCTCCCCAACAATGACTACACCATACAATGCTACTAATGATGTACCGTAACTGGTAGGAAATGCAGCCCCAAATACACTGGGCGTGGTCGGTAAGGTCGAATATTAGTACTCAATTAATCTATTGCTATAAGGACATTGATTTCTCTGTTGTCCAGGTTTGAGAGAGTCTCTGCAGGCCGAGGGGCGCCCACTGAGAGCGTTCTGCATTTTCTTCTTGCTCTGAAGGGATATTTATGATCCAACAACCTGACTCCTGCGTTGAAATGGTCACCTAGTTAGTGTCCCGTCCAACCAGTTTCATCAAAGTTAAAGACCCCCTGCCTATTCTTTTCATACGATGCACACTGGGTTGCTCAATGTACGATTAAGCCCCCACTAGACTGTCTGGCTGACCCTCCTACTCACCCGGCTCATCGTTGTCGTAATCTGGAGGAAGATCAATTGTCATACTCCTCTGTTATACGCCAGATTAGTTTCCAATCGATCCGATCCTATGCGAGACTGATTACGTTTATAGAGCGACTTGAGAGCAGCTATTCACTGCAGTTCTGTGTTGATTGACACTCTATTTCTCAAGACATTACTCCCATTTGAAGGAACAGACGTTTGCCACAGAAATCACAATATGGTCATATCACCAATCTGTCGTATGTTTATGTTTAAACACCAGAGCAGCAAGGAGCGGCACGAAGAAAAGAGAAGAGTTGAAATACTGGTTGTACACCCAGATTGTCTGGGGTACAGGGGAAAGCATCACCCCATGGATCGCAGTTCCCTGATAACTACACAAGAGAAAGGATGCCTCTTGCTTCACTGAATTGTAGTCAAATGCTGCCTGTGGATGTCTCTGGGTGTATAGTCCAGTATCATGAAGCTGGCCTTGACAACCTGAGGATGGCAATTTTCCATTACCCAGTGCGCAAACATATCCATCCCCCGCATGCCCCAGAGGCAGTCCAGAAGCATCCGTCTGTGACCCACAGTTGGGAGTCATTCCAATGGACTTTCGGGTACAGTAGCCGGGCTTGTGGCAGAAGCACGTGGTTGACAGTGGCATCACGGCCATCAAGTATCCCCGTTTGGGCCAGCAGCAGAGCGCCTGTGCAGGTTGTGAAAATTGCCTTGACCTCCTGGGATCGACGTCGAATGAATGATTCAAAACACTCCGGAAGGCGGTAGCCCGGCGACGGTCCACCGATTAATAGATAGTCAAGAGGTGGACATGTGTCGCAGGTGGTTGTCGGTAGTGCCTGAAGGCTGCCGGTATGTTGGACGGGCTTCAGCTCATTACCAACGTAGTAAAATTCAATATCAAGGCCGGCAGCTGCAGTGTTCTTGGAGACCAGACCGTCCCGTTCCATGACTTCGAGGTACGGTCGCGAGCATGAGGAGAGGATGTCCACTGGCCCGGCGACGTCGAGGGTTTGGTAAGGAACCATTAAGATTCCGAAACGAATGGGTGGCATTTTGAATGGGCTTAGTCTTTTTTATTCGATAGGGAATCATCAATCAGCATGCAGTCGACAGGGTGGTAGTCGGCCGCATTTATAACACTAAAACTGCGCTGTCCATCAACCACGCGCAGATGACTTACAGCTTAACTTGGTCTCGGACAGATTCGGCATAGGCCATTGGGTCATCGTCTGGACCATCAAGATGTGTCCAATCTACAGCATTGTTATCCCTGCTTGACTACTTTGTGAGACAAGGTTCCCCACAACTCCTTGGCGGTATTTACTGCCCCAAGCAGTTAGGCTAGGATATATACGCGTGATCTGACGGAGTTTCAGAGCCTTTTGCTGTCTGTAGCTGAACCCCAGATACTCGCTCAAGTGTGAAAGGAATTTTCTCTTTCCACTGACACGCTTGTGGTTTGCTAAGAACAGCAACTCATGGGAAAAAGGCTCTGTGCTCGTCGACAGTTGTAAGGCCCAAAATAATGTAGAGTAGATTGTGACAAGCGGCTGACAGGGAAGCACTAAGAAGACTTCTATTCAAAAGTGGAGACTTCGGCGTTATTCGAAGCCGAATTAGGCTGCAACTCGTACTCGTATCTGAGAACCACTCTGGCTGCGGATAAAACAGCTCCAGCTCAGAGCTACCAGTGCATCCACATCAAAATGGCGAGAGAATTGAGAATCAATGGCAATCGCCACGAGGAGTATATCAATCTCATGTTGTGTCCTAAAGTATACTGTATAACCTCAGAAACAGTCTCTCAGCAGCAAAGAGGGCGTTAAATGGAACTATTGTTCTGTACGGGGAACTGGAGTATGTCATCGGGGGTACTGTGTTCTAAAATGGTCATATTCTACTAATATTCGTTATTTAATGCTTCCTAAAGCCTCGTGTGAAGGCTGAGTCAATGTACCAAATGTACTAACTATCAATCAGCTAGCACGGTATCCACATTTGCCGTGTTCTTCTTGCTGTCTACTGCAGAATAGCTAACTTTAACTAGTAATATCTTGTTTTACTCACAGTATAGTCAAGGGCACTAGCACTAACTTCTTCTCTTAAATTTGCCTCAACCCTGTATTCAGTCAGCGGCAGCTTCGCTCATTTACTGCATCAGCTCCTCTAATAGCAGTTAAGTAAATATACAGCGGCGCAGAGGTGTCCTCCCATTAAAATCCCC